CATCTATTCCTGGGGCCTTATTTTTTTGCTATTTCCTTCAAAGCAAAACCCTATGTACAAGAGAACACACGTGGAATGACAGGAAGGGCAACTGAGTTTGGAAATACAAAGGAAGAGGAACAGTTGTAAGCAGACACTACTGACTGGAACATGGAATGTAAGAACCATGAATGCATGAAAATTAGATATTGTTAAGGAGGAAATGGAACACATAAATATTGACACACTAGGCACTGGTGAGATAAGATGGACCGGCATGGGGCATTTTGAATCAGATGATCATATGATATGCTACTCCGAGATGAAAAGTTGAGGAAAAATGGGGTTGCTTTCATAGTTAGAAAAGCCATTTCTAGATCCATCTTGAAGTACAATATTGTGAGTGAGAGGATAATATCCATATGCATACAAGAAAGTCCAGTGAATACCGCTATCATTCAGATATATGCACCAACAACCAGAGCCAACGAAGAGGAAATAGAAGATTTCTACCAACTTTTACAGTTGGAGATTGATTGAACATGCAATCAAGATGCATTGGTAATAATGGGTGACTGGAATGCAAAAGTTGGGAACAGAAAAGAAGAGTCAGTAGTCAGAAAACATGGACCTGGTGACAGAAATGCAGCTGGAGATAGAATGATTGCATTTTGCACAATCAATGACTTATTCATCAAAAACACATTTTTAAGAGACATAAACATAGGTTATACACATTGATATCACCTAATTATATGCATAGGAATCAGATCGATTACATTTGCAGGAGGAACCCCTGGAGAAGCTCAATATCAGCTGTGAAAACTAGGCCCAGAGCCGATTGTGGAATAGACCACCAACTTCTCATATGCAAGTTCAAGCTGAAGCTGAGGAAAATTAAACCAAATCTACGGGAACCAAAATATAACTTTGAGTCTATCCAACCTGATTTTCAGAACTATCTCAAGAATAGGTTGAAGGCCTTGAACACGAATGACCGAAGACCAGATGAGTTGTGGGAGGATATCAAGGGTATCATCCAAGAAGAGTGCAAATGTTCACTACAAAGACGGAAGAGGAAGAAGAGACTAAGATGGATGTCAGAGGAAACTCTGAAGATTGCACTGGAGTGCAGAGAAGGCAAAGCACAAGGAAGAATTCAAGATACTAAAGAGCTGAACAGAAGATTTCAAAAGGCAGCGCAGGATGACAAAGTAAAATATTACAATGAAATGTGCAAGGAGCTGGAGTCGGAAAACAAAAAGGGTCGAACTTGCTCAGCATTTCTTAAGCTCAAGGACCTGAAGAACAAATTCAAACCTCGAGTTGCTATAATGAAGGATGCTTTAGGCAGAGTATTAAAAGATCCAGGGAGTATCAGAAGAAGATGGGAAGAATATACTGAGTCATTGTATTGAAAGGAACTGGCAGACACCGAAGAATTTAATGAAACAACATATGAGCAAGAGCCTATGGTGATGAAGGAAGAATTTCAAGCCGCTACTTTGTAATATATGATTTAAAAGATACTGAATGGCTTCTAACAACAACAAAATATTGCTTGAGGTATTATATGAAAGACAATAAAAATCATGAACCAGAACAAGTTGGTTTTCTTAAATTAGGATTATTACATTTATAAAAATAAAATATTAAGATATAATAACATATCAGGATGGATGGTGAAGAGATTGAGATTGTACACAGCTTTAGTTTGCTTGGCTCTGCAGTCAACAATCTTGGCACCAGCAGCCAGGAAATGAAAAGACGCATTGCCATGGGAAAGTCTGCTGTTAGGGACCTCTCCAAAGTACTGAAGAGCAATGGTGTCTCTCTGGAGACTAAGGTATGTCTGATACAGGCTATGGTCTTTGCTATCACTTGTTATGCATCAGAGAGTTGGACAATGACCAAGGAGGATAGAAGGAGAATTGATGCCTTTGAGCTGTGGTGCTGGAGAAGAGTATTGAGAATACCATGGACTGCTAGGAAAACAAACAGATTTGTCCTGGAAAAGGGTTAAACCAGGTGGCTCCTTGGAGGTAAGGATTCTGAGGCTCCGTCTAACATACTTTGGACATGTTGTGAGGAGAGACCGTTCCTTAGAGAGGGACATCATGCTTGGGAGGGTGGAGGGATGGCGCAGGAGAGGAAGGCCCTCTATGAGGTGGATTGATTCGGTGACTGGGATAATTGGGGTGGGAGTGTCAGAGACAGTGCGATTGGCACAGGACAGAGCAGAGTTTAGGGCTGTTGTACATAGGGTCGCTATGAGTCGCGAGCAACTCGACGGCACATAACAACAACAACAACATACAAGAATGTGAAAGTAGGATGTTTAATATTTCATTGTGCTCATGTGAAAGTTATACATGGACTAAAAGGTAGTCCTTCAAATGAAACAAGATGACAATTTGTGGACTAGCTAGGAAAATTGTGCATCAGCTTTGTATCTTTTCTCTATATTTAATCTATCTGTATGTTGAGAAAATAATTTGAGAAGCTGAACTATATAAAGAAGAGTGTGATTTTTGGAGAAAGATTCATTAACAACCTTCAGTATGCAGGCGACACAATTTTGGTGAATGTGAAAAGTACTTGAAACAATTATCGATGAAGATAAAAAATATTGGATTTTGGTGTGGATTATACCTCAATATCAAGAAAACAAAATCTTCACTACAAGTCCAATATTCAACATCATGATAGAGATGGATGAAAGAGTGATAAAAAAAATTTCATTTTATTTCAATATAGAAACTATGCCTACGGAAGTGACAGCCAAAAAGTCAAAGGATCTATTACTTTGGAAAATTTGCTGCACTTGAAGTGTTAAAAAGTGTAACTACTAATAGGCTTCTAAACCAAGGCATAATATGTTCAATCACCTCATATGTATGCAAAATCCAAAAAATGAGAGACAGAAACATAATTGATGCCTTTGATTCATTCATGGTATTGGTGAAGAATATTAAACACAGCATAAACTTTCAGAAGAGTGAACAAATCTATTCATCGGAGAAGTACAGTCAGAATGATCCTTAGAAGCAAGCATGACAAGACTTCATTTCATGTACTTTGGATATGTTGCAGTGAGAAACCAATCCCTGCAGGAGGATATTATGCTTGGTAGATGATGAAAAATCAGAAGGCTCTCAATGAGATGAATTGACACAGGGGTTCAACGAAGGACTCAACATAGCAAAAGTCTTAAGGATGGTGAAGAACCAGGCAGGCAATGTTTTGTTCTTTTGTATATAGGGTCCATATAAGTCGGAACAGACTTGAGCACACTTAACAGCAGACATCTCTATGATAGCCACAATTAGACTGGTGAAAAAATAGGATTGATTCAGCTCTGTGTTTGGAAATTAGTGAGTAAAATCCTCTGGTGCTCTGTGGGAGAAAGATATTTCAATCTGTATTTGTAAAAAGAGCAAGGGTCACAGGTAGACAGTCATATCTGACCTTTACCAACTTCACAAGGGGGAACTGTCCCCATTAACAACACAAAACCAATTCCCCTGAAATCAGACATGTCACTCACACTCCCTCACCTCTTTCTACCCATCTCAACACCAATTTTGCAATTGCTCACAGACCCCACAGAACTATACTGGTCACAAGGTTGTAATTCAGGTTAATAGCCAAATAAAATTAGGCTTCTGAACATGTGCTCACAGGCACCTCAGAATTGAGCCTTTGTGACTTTAGGCCAGTGTTACAAAGCTCTCATTCCTGCCCATTATGACTTCCTTTCAACCTGTGCCAGTTGCCCAACAAGCTTGGGCAAAAACACTTAGTTCTGGTTCTGTGACATAACAGTTCCAAGGTCTCATCTCATGTTGGGTCTCTGGATCTCTGAAGTGGCTGCTATGGCTGCTGCTCCCATAGGCCATAGTCTGGCTGGCACATGAATCTCTGACTCTGAAGGACACACTACATTCTCTTGTATCTTCTTTACTGGTGGGAAACATCCTTTCATTATGCTATTCAATCTGCTCCATTTAATGCCAAGACTAGCCAACCACCTTGCAGATTGATGAGACTAGTGAACACACTGCTCACATATTCTTCTTCAGCCACATGGCAAAGTAAGTTAATGGATAGGGAACCCATTTTGAACAATAAACACTTAACAGTACAGCAATATGTTTTATTTCTCTCTCTCTCTCATAGAAGTTTCTTTATGATACTGAGATATCAGTTCAGGGTATCCAATACTGCTCAGGACCTACAGTGGTCGTGCAATCTAAATATCTTCAGCTGTTGGTTTTGTGGTGTATCAGTTATATATAAATAAATATATATAATGATATATCAATGATATATTAATGAATAAGGGTAACTAGCAAAATATTTTAAATTGGTACCTATATACTAAAATTGCCATTTAAGTAGCTTTGTTGTGTATTAGGATTAAATTTCAAATCAATTGTGTATAGTATAACAATTACTATACCGTTAAAAAAATTATAGAGGATCAGAAAACTTTTAGACCCAGAATATCAGATGTGTGATAAAATCAAGTAATTTACAATTTCTAGAAACCTTACAAGGCAATGTAAAACCAGCCCATGGGTTTCCAAGGCCATAAATCTGTGTAGAAGTAGACTTCCACATCATTGTCCCACATTCAAATACTGGTCTCTCTATGTTCAGCCGAACATGTCTAAGCATTGTGCTACAAGAGATGATTGCTATGCCACAGTGGAACTATACTGAATGAGAGAATGTGGTAGTAAAACATATCTATTTAAATTTTGTTTTCAATGCTAATAAAAAACCAAGTGTCTCTGCTGGTTGGGATCTATCAATGGCTCTGAAGGAGAAAGTTGATGGATCTAATAGTCTTCTCTGGGATTTACTGCCTTGGAAACTCCGTGGAGGGTCAGCTATGAGTTGGTTCCTATGAGTTGGTTCCAGCTCAACTACAATAAGTGAGAGTTTTTCCTTTATATTGAAATATTCAATTGGAATGATCGAATTTTAACACAGCCTATTTTGACCTATTTTTGAAGCTGAAAAGCATGCTGGGGTGTCCTGTGTTACAGCATCAGTGGATGACATACAATTTGAGGAGATTGTCAGGTAAGTGGCATGGCTCCATCAGCCCTTTCTCCTGAGTCTACTCAGCTTTGTTTATACCATGTATTTGTGTCCCTTGAGTTTATCTCGTCTCAGTGATTTGATTCGTCAATAAAATAAGATTTGTTCCAGTGTAAATCAGTCATAGGTCTTACCTTTCGTTACACTGTAGGTGTAAAATCACAGTCTTAATTTTGCTAAGAAGTAGCTCTCACCACTAAAGACATTTTAGTATATTGCTCAGCAAGCTCTCTCTAAGCTGACTCTTAATGGTTCTCTCCTCTCTAAAATTAATAACCAATAGCAAGAAGGATCTTCATGATGGTGAATTTCATCATTAGATTGTTGAGTAAACACTCATTTACTTACCTGATAAATTATGAAAAATATTTTATATGTGGAAATGTATATATTCTTGAGCATCTCTTGTAGTAAAGAAAATGTAAAAATACACAAACTTTTAAAACACGTATAAAAAAAGCAAAAGATAGTAAAATACTTGTTGTATACCATAGAGTCAGAACTGATCAAAGCTGATCCCCCAGTGGGTTTTCAGATGCAGCTGGTTGCATGGAAGGAAATTACCATCTGTCTCCCACAGAGCATCTGGTGGCCATGAATTTACAGTGTAGTTTCTTTTCATGAAGGCACCAGAGCTTCCTCAAGTACTTATTAGCTATACAATATTAATCCACTGATGGATACATTTTTTCGGCAATACTCTTGAAATCTTCCATGCTTTTACATCTTTTGTAAGCAATCCTGGCATCACTTACATACATTTTGTCTATGTTTCTAAAAAATAAATCCTATTTTAGAAAACATTGTATCATAACTACAAAACAATAAAAACAAAACCTGTTAGAGGGTCAGCTGTGAGCCAGTTTCAATTTTTTCACAATTGCCATTGTTGTTAAAGTGCCATTGAGTCACTTGCGACTCATAGCGACCCTATGTATGTTGTCTTTATTATTTCATTATTAATCCATTATCCATTATTAAGGATGTTAAAGTTATGTTTTAGTTTTATTTTTCTTTTTAACATTTAAACAATTTAAGAATAAAATTTAAACAATTAGCCCTTAGAAACAAAAAACAAACTACATTCTGTGTATTGTCATTGTTGTTATGTACCGTCGAGTCGCAACAAAGCTATAACTGACCCTTCAGCAGGTCTTCAGAGTCTGTAAATTGCTAGGGAGAAGACTATCCATCCTTCTCAGGCAGAGCAGCTGCTGGATTCAAACCACATCCCTTCAGTTTGGCAGCATAGCTCTTTACCACTAGGCTATGAGAATTCCCTCATTTTGTTGATAGGTCTCTTAAAAAGCTTTTATCTATAATTCCTCCTTTATTTTAATTAAAGCAAGCAAGTCATTTGTCCTTTGGGATTGACCACATTTCTTATTTGTTCATTATATTATTATTAGAATATTGTTTGACATTTTATTCTGTTGTTATATGTGCATGATTAATCTGATAAAAATTCTATTGCTATTGATTGCCTTAGAGTCAAGCACGACTCATAGCAACCTTATGAACAAAAGGCCTGAAGCCAATTCTATTGTTATTGATTGCCTTAGAGTCAAGCACGACTCATAGCAACCCTATGAACAAAAGGCCTGAAGCCCCTCTACAACTATTGACATTTATCAAAGTTCATAGAGTTTCTGGAGGAATGTTTTTTAGGAAGTGGATGCCACCCCTGCTTCCAACCTGTCATAGTACGTTATTGGTTGAGTCACCTGGGATGCATAGTGATCCTATGTACAGCAGCTCTGAACTCCTCCCTGTCCTGAGCCAGTCTCACTAATTCTGACACACCAACCCCTATTGCTCTAGTTACTGTATCAAAATACTATTTAATGATCATTGTTTATTACTATTGTGAGCTGATGACATAATACACAGGGGGAGGTACTGCTAACCCCAAGTACCCACTTCTGACAATTCAAACTCACCAGAAGCTTCAGGAGAGATGGGCAATCTCCTCTTTGTGATTCCCAGCCTAGGAAAACCTGCTGGAGGGTCAGCAAGGAGTCAGTTCTGATGAGTTGGCAATTAGTTAAACTTTGTTATTGCATAAGGGGAAGGAAAGAGACAAGATAGGTGCTTGGGTGGGGGAATAGTATACGTATTGGTTATTTCTTTAAGGGAAGTGTCTTTCATCCGCTTGGTAAAATTCTTGTCTGTCAGATTTGGTTCTAAAACTAAGCATCCAAAATTAAGACAGACTAGGAAGAAGGATTGACCATCCAGTTCTGAAATATAACAGGCCTTTGAAAGCCCTATGTATAGCAGAGCACACTTAGAGTAGACTAACAGATATGGCAACGGAGGCCTGAGCCCTCAAATTTAGGAACACAAACGAAAAGGAAAAGTTGTAAGAAGAAACTAATGAGTGGAATGTGGAATGTGAGAAGCATGAATGTAGGGAAAATAGACATTTTTAAGAAAGAAATTAAATGCATAAATATCTAAATGAGATGGATTGGCATGGGACATTTTGAATCAGATCATCATGTGATCTACTATGCTGGAGATGAAAAGGGGGTTACTTTCTTTAATAGTTTAAAAGGCTCTTTCTAGAACTGTCTTGAAATACAATATTGTGAGTGACAGGATAATATCCATGTTCATACGAGGAAGACCTGTTAATACAACAACCTGTTAATACCACAATTTATGCACCAAAAACCAGAACCAAAAAGGAGAAAATATAGGATTTCTACCAACTGTTGCAGTCAGAAATCGATCGAACATATAACCAGACACATTAATAATAATGGATGAGTTATCAGTCTTTTGCTTATGAAGGCCCAGAAGTATTCTGTAAACTGTTGTTATAAGACTCTTGGTATTACCAAATGTTTATTACCAGTCTGTAGGTTTTCTTTTCACCCTGTTGGAAAAAGTTTTGATGCACACATGGATTTAATCTTTAGAAGGTCCCATGCATCAATTTTATCCTCTTTAGACTGTGTATTTCTTGTTGTATTTGTCAGTCTCTGTATCCCTTGTACTAGCGCTTCTAAGCTTGATCCCAGTTTGTCTCTTATAAACGTTATGGTTTTGGGCTTTACTCCCAGATCTCTGATCCACCTTGAGTTTATTTTTGTGTATGGTGTAAGATGTGGATCCTGTTTCCGCTTTCTGCAGGTGGAAGTCCAATTTTGCCAGCACTATTTGTTGAAGAGATTATCATTTCCCCATTTGTTAGCTTTCATTTCCTTGTCAAATATCAGTTTACCGGGTCTATTTCTGGGTTCTCAATTCTGTTTCATTTGTCTATGTGCCTGTCATTGTACTAGTACCATGGCTGCTTTGGTTACTACTGCTATATAGTAGATTTTTAGGTCAGAGAGTGCTATGCCTCCAACCTCATTCTTGTTTCTCAAAAGTGTTTTGCTCATTCGGGATCTCTTGCTTTTCCAAATAAATTTTATAATTTTCCTTTCAATATCCTTGAAAAATGAATGTGTTATCTGGATTAGGATTGCATTGAACATGTAGATCACGTTTGGTAAGATTGTCATTTTCACCATATTGAGTCTTCCTTTCCATGAACAGAGTAGTTTTCTTTGTACAGGTCTTTTATATTTTTAGTTAGGTTCACTCCCAGGTATCTCAATTTGTGGTTGGCTATTGTAAATGGTATTGCTTTCTTAATTTCCTTCTCTGGGTTCTCTTTGTTACTGTAGAGGAATCCTATTAATTTTTGGATATTGATCTTATATCCTACCACTCTACTAAATTGACCTATTAACTCTAACAGTGTTTTTGTTGAGTCTTTGGGGTTTTCTGTGTCACTATCATATTATCTTCATATAGAGACAGTTTAAGCATCTCTTTGTCAATCTGGTTACCTTTTATTTCCTTCTCCTGTCGCATTGCCCTAGCAAGTACTTCCAATACAATATTGAAAAGAAGTGGTGAAGTAGGCATCCTTGTCTGATCCCTCTTTGTAAGGAAAATGTTTTTAGTCTTTCTCAATTGAGAATGATGCTGGGTTTTGGTTTTGCATACATACTTTTCACTATGTTGAGGAAATTCCCTTCTATTCCAATTTTACTGAGTGTCTTTATCAGGAAGGGGGTATTGGATTTTGTCAAAACACATAAAAAGATTTTTCACAGAGGAAGATATTCAAATGGCAAACAGACACATGAAGAAAGGCTTCAAACCACTGGCAATAAGAGAGATGCAAATCAAAACCACAATGAGGTACCATCTCACTACAGTAACAGTGGTAAAGTTTAACAGGGCATCAAGTAATAAATGCTGGAGAAGATGCGGTGAGAAAATTACTCTTATACATTGTTGGTGTGATTTTGAAATGGTACTATCATTCTGGAAGGCAATTTGGCCATTTCCTCAAAAAGCTGAACATAGTAAATCCATATGACCCAGCTCCACTGCTTGGAATATACCCTGAGAAAAAGGGAACTGAAGCACAAATGGGGATTTGTACACCAATGTTCATAGCAGCATTATTCACCATCGCAAGAACATGGAAACAGCCCAAATGTCAACCACAAATAAATGGATGGAGAAATTATGGTACATTCACACAATGGAATACTATTCAGCATGCAGAATTTTGTAAATTATTACCTAACTTGGGAGGAACTGGAGAGCATTATGCTGAATGAACTCAGTCCCACAAGGATAAATATTGTAGAAAACTATTATTGTAGAATGAGTATAAGGATTCAAGAGGGGTGTGAGAGATTGGAAGCAGAGGAATGAGGATGTTCAGGGGGAGCAGAGGATTAATCCTGGGGTTGTACAATTTGATGGGGTCCTGAGGGAAATTGAAAGAATTTGTTCTTGAAAACAATGTATTCTAATTTTGTAAATAAACTAATAGAATTTTTTTTTAATAACAGATGACTAGCATGTGAAAGTTGGGAACTTGGAAGGATCAGTAGTCTGAAAATGTAAACTTGGTGACAGAAATGAGGCTGGGGATAGAATGATAGAATTCTATACAGATTTATTCA